GAACTATAAACATGAAACCAGTGGAAATGAAAAATGATATTTCAAAAGAATGGGAATATATTAGAAAGCAAATGGAAAGGTTGAATGATGTTAAACGTGAACAAATTAATTCGGGGCTCATGAATTTTAAACAAGGAAATAAAGTTTTGATTCATCTCGATTATGGAAAAACTGATAAATCAATGACAAAAAGAAGACGAAGATTTGACACAATAGCTGAATTTGTTAGATATATTAACGGCAATGCATTAGTTGAAGTTGACAATAAATTAATAGAAATTCCGATTTATTTTATTACTCCATTATATTTAAATAATATTTAATTTTTTTTATTTCGTAAGAAATGGGTGACAACAAAGCAGTCAAGAGTCCAGACGATGAATATAAAAAGAAACTAAACAGAATTAAATCAAAAATATGCTATTACAAAAAGAAGCCGCAATGTGATGGGGTTGATGCCCATAAAACTAATGGAACTGAAAACGATAAAGAGAGGAAAGAAATAATCGAAAAATTAGAAACTTATCGTTCAATCATTAAACTGAGTGAAGCAAAAATAAAAGAATTTAATAGAATAAATAAATTGGTTGGAAGAGATGAATTTAATAAAGATGAATTTTTAAACTCAATCCAAATTTAATTTTTATTCCTCTTTGACAACATCTCTCTTTCCATCATTACTGCATAACCACATTTTCTCAGTTTTAGTGGTTTGTTATTTTTAGCAAGTTCTCGCATCATTTTTATCATTTCCTCCCTTGTTATGATTCGTGGTAAATTTTGAGCTTGTGGGGTATTCATTTATGATAAAAATAAAAATTTGTTATCAGTTATTTTATCGTTAAGTGACTCAAAATATATTTTAGGGTAGAAGGGTAGATCTAACCTGTTTTCTCACCTCATTTCTACCCTCATGAAAATTCACCAAAAATAATGTTTACGTTAATGTTTTCGGGTTATTCATTAATTAATTATTTTTGAAGAACTGAAGGTGTCACCAGGTCACCAGGTTATTTAACTTCTCTGAAAAAATGAGACAACATGACATTTAGACAACACAGCAGGAGGAAGGCATTTATGAATTATTTTTGAAGAACTGAAGGTGCTACCATGTTACCATGTGCTACCAGGTTAATTAACTTCTCTGAAAAAATGAGACAACATGACATTTAGACAACATAGGAAATATGATGCAGTCCAAAAATAAAGTTAGTTTTAAAATTATTTTTATTTTTTTATCCTATATAAATGACAGCAACAAACAACAACAACAGCAACTTTATCATTTCTGATGAAAAAGTTATTGATTCATTAGCTGAGGAATTAGTTGTGGCAGAAACTAAAACCCTCAACGAAAGAATTGTGAAAACAAGATTGATTTACATAACTACCTCAAACATGATGGAGGAAGAGGAAGAAAACTGGTATGGCTTTATTAGTAAATAAATATCAAATTTAACGATTATAGTATTGATATCAATAAATCGTACAATGATGAACTTAAAGAAACAGTTAGAAAAGATATTTTATCAAAACTTTCGGATAAAGATGTTATCGTTAAAAACCGCTTCAGGAGGTCTTCACATTTATTGCAACACTAATTTCTTCTATGCAGTTTCGAACAGAATGATTAAATGTTATTCCTGCAATGATTATGATATTGATATCATGACTTCTATGGATGATTCAAAGCGTTCTTTAGTAGTTATGGCTGATTCAAGAGTTCGCAAGAATGCATCAGAACCAATCAATACATACTCATTCATTCGTGGAAGTTATGATTCAACATTAACTAGAACAGTAAATGATATATTAAATGATTTGAATATTAAGGTAAGAGTTGAACAAAAGAACGAAGAAATAAAGAGTATAATGAATGAAAACAAAGATGTAAACATTGACGATAAACTTGCCCAGAGCATAGTTGATGGTATCTGTGATTTTGAAGTACATAATGACGGTGGAAACATGAATTTAGAAAAAGAAGTTACATTATTCACACTGTTTCAAGCTATTAATTCGTTACCTAATCATTTGATTAATGAAGCATACGATAACGTTTATAACTTCTGCAATTTAACTGAAAATGCAAAAAGTAATTTTGAAAAAGCACGTAGTAGATATGCACATTTAATGACTTCTCCATTTGTTTTAGTGAAGATTCTAAAACTATATCAAAAGGAATATTATGATGAATATGTTTTACCTTTATTACGTAAGCCAAAAATAACATTTGATATAAAACTTGATGACTCGTTTTTGATAACAGATATTAGACGCAAGGCTGAAAATCATCAGTATAAAAACAGTTCTGAAGTAATTGAGGATTTATCACGTGTAATCCGTTTTGTAGATTATGGAAACAAATACTTCATTCAGAAAGATTACAACATACACGACAAAATGAATCAAATATCATTCGTTCTTCAATCAAACATGAAAGAGTCACTCAAAATGATTAAATTATTTAAAGAAGAAGGTAAAACAATAACAGCATGGGACGTACTACTAAATCAATTATCCTCATTAACCGTTAAGGGTGTTTGCTTTAAATCTGATTCCCCAGATGTTTTCTCAACGTTTCAGGGTTATAAATACAACGTTCTCGAAAAAGTAGATTACTCAAAAATTGAGATGTTTATAGATTTCATTAAAGAAGCCATTTGTGATAATAACGATGAAGTGTATAAATACCTTCTCGGCTGGATTGCATCAATGATTCAACATCCAGGAATCAAGAATGAAACAGCAATTATTTTGAAAGGACTTCAGGGAACAGGTAAAAACAGATTTACAGACATTATTTCTGAACTTCTCGCTGGTTATTCATGTAAAAACATTACCGAAATAGGTGAGCTAACGGGTAATTTCAACTCAGTAGTTGAGAATAAAATGTTTCTTGTACTTAATGAACTCAAGAATGTAGGTGAAGACAGACTCAAACTTCAACGCTTTGAAATCAATTATAACGGATAATGAGATTAGAATTAATGAAAAGAATCAACCCAGAAGAACTGCTCAGAATGTTGCCAATTTCATTTTCGTAACTAACAACGTCTACCCTGTCAAAATTGAAGTTGGAGACAGAAGATACGTAGTTTTAAGAGTTAATGGTAAATTCAAGGGTCAATTTGATTACTTCAAGAATTTGATGAATTCATGCACTAAGGAATTTTATGATAATTTACTGACGTATTTTATGCAATATGACCTTTCATCATTTAATGTACGAATCATTCCGATGACTGAAGCCAAACAAGATTTAATCGAGTTATCAACAAATCCTTTAGATGTATGGATAAATACACATTATGATGAATTGTGTGCAGGTATGACGTGTGAAAATGCTCTATTCTGCAAACCATCAGACATGAAAGACAAGAATTTCCAAATGAGTATTAAGGATAAATGTGATAGGAAACATAGAAGAATAGACGGTAAACAAACATGGTGTTATGTTTTGAAAGAAGAAATGAAAGGATTATATAAACAGGTTGAACCAAACGATAATGAGGATTCATTTACTGACGATGAAATACCTGTAAATGAAGCTTTATAAAGTATGATTTGAATTTATTTTTGCATTAATCCTGCTGTGTTGTCTAAATGTCATGTTGTCTCATTTTTTCAGAGAAGTTAATTAACCTGGTAGCACATGGTAACATGGTAGCACCTTCAGTTCTTCAAAAATAATTCATAAATGCCTTCCTCCTGCTGTGTTGTCTAAATGTCATGTTGTCTCATTTTTTCAGAGAAGTTAATTAACCTGGTAGCACATGGTAACATGGTAGCACCTTCAGTTCTTCAAAAATAATTCATAAATGCCTTCCTCCTGCTGTGTTGTCTAAATGTCATGTTGTCTCATTTTTTCAGAGAAGTTAATTAACCTGGTAGCACATGGTAACATGGTAGCACCTTCAGTTCTTCAAAAATAATTAATCATTGAATAACCTGAAAACATGAGACTTTGTCTCCGGACTCTTTGAGTTACTTAACGATAAAATATATTTTTGGTCATGGGCTATGCCCCGCCACGTTGCGTCTTTATGACAAAAATAAATGGTTCATTTACTCACAATATTTTTGTACAAAACAACCCCAAGCTTTTAACTTCTTTTCTGCAGCTTCTAATGCTATCTTAGCGAGTTCATATTCTCTAAATTCTCTCTTTAAATTTTCTTGTTCCCATTGGTCTAGTTCGAATGGAGAATCTCTATAACCATAACATAACTCACGTTCATGTTCTAATTGTTTTTCGCGCATTTTTCTAACTTCTTGTTCGAACAAAGGTTTAGCATTCTCTACTGTATCTTCAAGTTCTTCTTCATCTAATTTCTCATGAACTTTCTTGTCTATGGAGTCCATAATTTTTCCAACTGCTATGCAATATTTTGGAGAAGCCCACATTGCTATATAGTTTATAAGTCTTGGGTCTACATACGTTCCTCTAACTTGTTTGATTTCATCAGGAATTCCTGCATGAATTTTGTATAAAAAGCAACAGTCTGAATTCCGGCGGTTGCTATATTCTTCACAAAATGCCTTATAATACTCTTCCCAGGACTTATTTTCCAACAACTTTCTAAAGTCTTTCCTAAACTGCTGACACATATTTGTTGCATTAATGTAACCATCCTTGTCTCTACGTAAGACTTCAATACCGTTATAAGTGCCTTTTGTGAATGTTTCGCCATTAGATTTGTTCGTAAATGATTTTGCTTCGACTGACATTTCTGTTCTTACATACAAAATAAAAAAATAAAAATAATTTTAAAACTAACTTTATTTTTGGACTGCATCAAATTTCCTGTGTTGTTGTCTAAATGTCATGTTGTCTCATTTTTTCAGAGAAGTTAAATAACCTGGTGACCTGGTGACCTGGTGACCTCATCAGTTCTTCAAAAATAATTAATTATTGAATGACCTAATTAATTACAGACATAAAATATATTTAGTTCATTCGGTAAGCCTAAACCCTTTGGGTCAAGTCTCAAGCACATTCAATGAATGCGGTACCATGCGAATACAGTCACAAATGGTGGCATGTAATCTTTACCCGAGCCTGTTGGATTTGTTGTGAAAGTGTGTGAATGATTACCTGCGGTTCCACAGAAAATACCTGTGCTTGAATCTACTGGGTCAGTTGTGATATCATATCTATTCATTCCCCATCTATCCGAACCCGCTGCAAGATTTATATAACCTCTTTTTGTTATTGAATGTGAATGATTACCTGTTGTGTTTGTAGTTCCTGTATGAGTGTGCGGTGGAAGGTTTGCTTCTTTAATTTTCTTCGAACCTCCTGTTTGCTTTGAATATCTAGCACAGTATAAGAATTTATCTACAATCTGCTTCCACGTACCAAAACCTAAAACTTCTGATGGATTTGTTGAGTTCATTGATGTATAAATAGAACCAACAGGGTATAATGTTTGAAGTATTTCCGTCTTTAATGTTTGAAGCTCTGTTTTGTCAGCTTTCTTATCATATAAATCTTGAGCAGTGAATTTAACGTTATTTTCATCATCCATGACATAAACATTTCTACATCTAATGTATTTCATCGTTGTTATGTTTTCATCCGATGTTAAACCTTGTGGAAAGTTAGGAGGTTTACAATATAATGCATCCCCATCAGTTCCTTCAACCGTTCCTTCAATACTTTCTATAGCAACAGTTGAGAAGAAAGTATGTGTATGGTTCTTATCTGCCTTCTTATTTAATTCACTATCCACATATTCCTTATCTGCCTTCTTATTTAACTCATCGTTAACATATGTTTTATCCGCTTTAAGGTCTAAACATCCTGAAACCCATCCTGTATCAGCTTTAGTTTTTAAAATCTTTGATGTCCATTCATGATACCATTCAACCATTTCTTTAATTTCATTATCTTTTTCATCCACATATTCCTTATCTGCCTTCTTATTTAACTCACTATTCACATATTCCTTATCTACCTTCTTCATTATGTCATTTAGGAAACCTTCTATGAATTCCTCATTTAAATTAAATCTTCCAATCTTCAAAACTTTAGGAAATGCATTTAATGCGTAATATCTCTGTTCTTCTGGTGGAATTGATGTTATATCATCCGTTATACCTTTAATTTTAGAATTCATAAATAAAATTTCTTTTATATTTGATATCACTGCACCACCTTTGCAAACGAATTCGAAATGTTCATTTTTCAATACTATCTCCAAATCTCCATATTTCAACCTTTGCGTTTGTTCTGCCGTCTTTGAATTATATGCATATATGGCGTATGTAATGGTCTGAAGAACCTGGGTGTTTTGTGCCTTAAGTTGTTGTGGTTTAATCATTTATTATGATTTAAAAATAAATATTTAATCTGTTATCTCATCAGCTATTTTCTCTATTTGAAATTGCCATAATATTTCATTCATGAATTCTAAATCACAATCAAATAGGTCAGTTATTCTAAATTTAATATTTGATAAATCTTTTGAATGAAGAATAAATGAATTCCCGGATAATTGAAACGGATATGATAAAGAAAATGTGTTTAAGTTGATGGATAAAATGTTTTGTATTGATGGGTAAGAGTTAGGGTCTAATGTTTGGTGTGAAAATCTCATTGGGGTATTAACTTTATCACATTTGATTAAAATGAAATTGGAACCAGTGTCAGAATACAAAACACCCCCAACATCTTTTTCAAAATTTAATATCCCCAACAATGAACGAAGATGAGGAGTACAAAATTTAATTTTCAGCGGAAATTTAATAAGGTTATTTATTTCATCAAGTTCAAAAAGTTTATCGGGTTTTGATTTAAAATTTTCTTCATACCATACGATAAATGATTCATTTAAATAACTTAAAATCATGTTAATATCCCATTTCGTTATCACATTATTTATATACATATCATACGTTTTTTCATGGTCATCTTTAATAAATGATATATAATCTGAAGGGTCTAAAAGAATGGGATTAAATTTACCACTCACAGAAACGAGACTAACATTATAAATTCCGCTAACTGTTAAATTTAATTCACAGTTATTATTCGAAATAATATTGATAATTGACATTTTTATTACGATTAAAAATATGGTAAAGCGTTATTTTCCAGTGATAAATAAAACTAGAATAAGATTACCTCAAGAATTCATAAATTCAACGAATAAGAAATTCATTCATGTTATAAATTTTAGTGTTTTCAGAAAATATGAGTCGATGTCATATTCATCAACAGGTTATATTTCACTTCATTCAAATTTAGTTCAATCAAACCCATATAATGACCATTTCATAAGATTTTCAGATGGTATTAAAAATGTAATTGATAGATTAAAATATGAACAGATTGACAATATCGAATTTTTGGAATTTTGGTTTAAATATCCCGATGGAAAAAAGATTGAAGTTAAAGATAAAGCTGATACTATAACAAAAACAATTACAATGACCGATCCAGATAGTGGGGAACAAAAAGAAATAAAACAAACGATAGAAACTGGTGAAAGGTCAATTATTATTGATTATGATTCAAAGGATTATTATTCAATAATGTTAATGCTTGAATATTAAATAGCCTTAACAAAGAATTTTTCAAGTGATATTTTATATTCATCAACTATTTTATTATAAATATCATTATATGTTAAATGAAGTTCAGTTGTTGTTCCGTTCTTTGATATCTTAATTGTGCTAATATCCTTTATAGGATTTATTTTTGCAACTGTTCCGCAGCATGAAACCTCATCATCTATGAAAAATTGAATCTTAACGTCTGAATCTTGAACATCACAAAGAATGGCGATAATGTGAATTAATGATTCATAAGGTAAAATAATTAAACCGGATTGGTCAATTAAATTTATTATTGAATCATAATTATTAATTATTATATCACGGTAAATTTTCATTAATTCAGAATTAATGTCTATTTTATATGGGTTCTCGATGTTTGATGAAAGAGGTGGGGGTATGTTGGATAAGTGGGAATCTCAACAGGTTCTTTACCAGGTTCAGATAAAATGATTGGGTCTCCATCTTCTTTATTTTGCTTCTCCTCCTTTTTCGGTAAGTCACGAGTTAATAAATTTGGTTGAGTTGCTGACCTTGTTAATTCAGGGCTAACATTAACTTTAACATTTTGAATAATTCGTGATTTATCATCATTTACGTTATAACCAACCGTAATCTCTGCTTTTGCGTTAGTGTTCTTTTGACTAGTGAAACGTCTTCTCATTTATATTCGAATAAAAAAATATATTTAAACTTTTATTTTGCTGGAACTTTTGAATCTATTATTCCCTGTATTTGTTCATGAAGTTGATTTTTAGCATTTTCATCGAAATTAATAGACCGAATATATTCATTAATTGCATTCTTATAATCATCTGATTTCTCAAATTTTCTTTTATCTGATTCCTTAACTAAATCATAAGTTAAACCTCGTTGCTGATATAATGGTTTCTTAATTAAATCTTTGAATGCTTGAGATAAAGCACCTGATGCAATTCTTGCTACTATAATTGGTTGGAATTGCTGTTTAAGTTCATCTTTAACATTTGCGAAAACTGGATCGAATAAAGCAACTTTAAAGAATTTCTTAGCTGAAATTTCAGGTCTAATATTTGCATATTGACCATCAAACTGGTTAGAATATCGTGGTAATCCATCCGGTCCCTCTTGAATAGCATTTAATTCTTCATTGAAATAAGAATAAGGATTATGACGATATGAATTAATTGGACCATTTTCACCTTCTCCAATGTATTGTTTAACAGCTTTTCCATTTTCATCAAATTGCATAGGATAACGTTCATTATATGCTTTACGTTTAGGATAATCAGACATAGTTAATTTATAACCATTTATGACTTTAATATTACCTTGACCATCAGTAACGAAAACTTCATTTATACCATCAGGTTTTCCATTTGGACCCGTAATGTCTGCTTCGTGTGCTTCCCAATTTGGACCATGACGTTTGGCATATGCTTGAGCTTCTGGTAATGTTAAAACGTTTCTCATTTGTTTAACATCTTTTTGAAGACCAGCAACAATATGAACTAATTCTTTCATTCCATCAGGAACTTTCATAGTTCTATAGGGTGTCCAAAGGTGCGTTTAGCACAGCGCTCTATATGAGACTATTAAAGGAGATATATGCTGATTATAAATATATAATAAAAAATATGAATATATGTATATGATGAGTAAGTTGTATTTTGGCGCCATGCCGGGATATAAAATGAATTTTGAGACAAGAGGCGGTTTCGCGGGAAATTTTGGCGGGATTTTTTTCATTTTTTTAATGAATCATAAAGAAAACATCCTCGCTCTTGCAAAAAAATGCAAAGACTGTAAAAAATCTACGAGACATTGGTAAAATGCTTCGGTATGGATGCTCCTAGCTATTCCACTGTAACGTATCATGTTAGGATGTATCACTTCATGACCAAAAAGGCGCCCATCATAAAAATTGACAAAAAATCGCCGGATCAAAGAAAAATCAAAGCAATTCTTCAAGCGCTAGATAAAGACCCAAGAGCATCACTCAGAAGGATAGAGGAGATGACAAAGATACCACGTACAACAGTCAGTTATTATCTGCACAATTATTTGAACTACAAACTAGCGTATACACGTTGGGTTCCGCACAACCTTAATTCAGTTCAAAAAAATCTAGAGTCCAATCTTCGAAAGAGCTCCTCTCTATATTGGGTGCGTATCAATCCAAGAAGTTTCGCTTTTTAGTAACAGGGATGAGTCTTGGTTTCAATATGCAACAGAAGCCAAAATCATGTGGATCCCGAAGGATGAAGATCCGCAAACATTCCCGAAGAAAAAAATTGACACACCAATGATGATGTTGTCGGTTTTTTGGGCGTGAATGGCATCATCGCAATTGATATTCTTCAAAAACCTAATACGATGAATGCTCAGTATCTAATTGACAATGTTCTTACTCAAATTATCAATTCTGATGAGTTTGAGAAATCCAAACAACAAAAACAAAAGTTTGCAATTCATTTTGATAATTCAAGAGTTCACAAAAGTCATAAGATAATGAATTACTTGGTGGAAAACAATGTCAAAGTTGTTCCAAACCCGATTTATTCACCTGATATTGCACCCTCTGACTTTTATTTATTCGGCACGCTAAAAAAGAGAGCTGAAGGACGCGAATTCGCGAGTCCAGATGATCTTGAAAATTTTGTAAGAGAGCAATTTGAGCAATTTTCTCATGATGATTTAAAGCGTGTCTTTCAAGCCTGGATCGATCGCTGCGAACGCGTGATTGAATCCAATGGTGATTATATTTAAATAAACTTTATATATATGTAACTTGTTTATTTCTATTCGCAGTATTCAGGTTTGTGCTAAACACACCTTTGGACACCCTATATTATATACACCCCTTTTGTTTGTCCCTTGTTTTAATGGAACCTGTAGAAGATTTACCATTTCTGTCATGTTTAATTATAAATAAAAAATAAAAATTAATCATAAAAAGTTAATCAAATTTAACACTTCCTTTATTTAAATCAACTATTATTTTTCCATGTTCACCTAATTGCTGATATTGTGTGTAAAGTTCATTAATGCTCATTGGTAAATTCACTTGATAAAGCATAACGTTCAACTGTTGACGACTAAACCCACTGAAAATGAAAAGTGTTGATAGATTTGATTTAATGTTTGTGCTTAATGCTTTGAAATATTGAACAGCCATAAAGAATGAACACTGAATGTGTCGACATTGAGTTAATAACTGATTAAAATATGATTTCTCATTTGTTATTAGTTTGATTTCACTGCATCATCTAGAAAAATGAGTGAATGCAAAAATTCTTTATCAAAATTTGAAATAGAAAGTGTTTCAAATAATTCATCCCGTTGTTTATCAATAATTTTATCCTCTAATCCTTGCTTCTTGATTGTATTATATAATTCTTTATACATTAAAAAGTTTTTTAAATAATCTTCTGCTTCTTCTTGTGATAAATAAATAATTGGAATTTTGATTAAATGCTTTAAAGATTCAAATGTATCATCTGAAGGTGAACCTGAACGGTTGATATAAATTAACACATGTGAATAGGGGAAGTGTTAGCAATAATGATAATTTATTTTAATATCGTTAATGTTTTACCTTTATTTTGTTTACCAATTGCTGCAGTGATTGAATTTAAGTAACATTCAGAATATGGAATTTTCATTAATTTTTCCTTAGATAGAGCATTTCTATTATCACTCAATGCTTCATTAATCATATCATCTACGTATGTATATATACTCCTGCTAATTCTTCATAAGGGGTGGATGAATTTAAAATCCATTT